CTCGGAATGCTTCCAACAATGGCGGTACCGCTGGGAGAAGTGTGTGGAGTCCCAAGGAGACTACTTTGAGGGTGATTAGGTTTCCAACGCTCCAGGTATGCCAGTTTTTATTCCCCTGCCAAAGGTCGGATACTTTTCTCACAGGCCTCGTATGGTTCTGGGAAGACAAAAATCCAGACAAATGTCTGAGTCAGCATGCCAGTTACTCCTTAAGATATATGTAGACATGAGAGTTCTTGCAAACATCTCCCAATGATTTCTGTGCTGTGGGTTGCTCAAACAAACCCATGGAAGATACTGTGTGCACAAGGTTGAAGACTTTGAAAAGCATGTAAAGAAAAGGGTGAAAACATTGACTTCATGTATGGCATGAAAGCCTATAGCAATGAAAATTGTGCTGCAGAGGGGCAAGCCATAGTCAGCACCATCACAAAGAACATCATCAGAGAAGATATTATAAGGCCTAGACATACATTACCATAGACTGTATGTATGTACTGTAAAGATCTACTTAAATTCTTGTTTCCTAATGGTATCTATATGGTGCTAGTTTAAAATTCAGGAAACATATATACACATCTAATAATTATATACTCCCAAGAAGCCAAATTGTTTTTAGCTCTTTCTTTCAATTGTCAAATCACTTGAGTTGGAAGTTAGTGGAATTTGATAACAGATTAATCATTTGGCCCATTACTTGATAATATTCAACTAAATGCACTACGCTTCGATAGTTAGATTAATTTAAAATAGTAATCATCAGAAACAATAATTTTGATTAGTTGATTATTTCATGAGTCATGACATTACTCAGTTAAGCAGAAAAAATTTGAATTAATTGAAATTAATAATGGGAGATTATAATGACTATATGTTGATTGTTTCATGTGACACTAATTGTAAGTAATCAAATTAATTGCCCAGTTATACAAACCACTGTAATTCTTACATACTTTGTGCTTCTCTGATGATAGACAAGCAACTATGAAATGTTTTGCTTTAAAATACAAGAGTTGTTTGCTTAGGTAAACTACACTTATAGAGGACCAGATTATAAGTTGGTTTCACAGGTGTTTTACTCTCATGGTATTCTGAAATTATTATTATTGATATGGTTTATCCTCCTATAAAAACATAAAATAACTGTAATAACAAGAGCATGATATCATGATGTCATAACTTTTAAGGTGAAATTTCAGTATAATTTATAAAATGCAATTTCTGCTATTAATGCCCTCTAGTACACAGATGAAACCAGACTGTCTAATCCATTTAATAATTAATATTTCCTGAAACAAGCACCGGTTAAAAACCTTGTTTGTTTAAAGTTGGATGCACTAATAGAGAAGATCGACTCATAGAAATATTTGACTTGGCAATGTCATTTTAACAAATGTTGATTATTTGAAGAAGAATAAAAATTACCATTCCTTAGTTCTACAGCTTCAAAACAAATCAAAATTAAATAAAAAATGTTCTCATAAGAGAAGCTATTTGATTCACAATTGTAAATGACGTGTGAAATTTCTAATTTCCTGAATAAGAACCAACAATTATTCAAAATTGAAAAATAAGATATAATTAACTTATTTCATAGTTTTATTAATTTCTGAAATAAGCACTAATATGCCCAAATTTCAATATTGTTGGTATAGGATTGATAGATTCAAGGACCCACTTCTCTGTTGCATTATATTGTTTGACATCTAACCACTGAATCATGGCAGGAATTGTTTACTACTGGAGAGAAAGAGATAAAATTGTTAGTTTTGGTTAAATTGATAGTTTCTCATTTTTGGTGCTTGTTCTATGGTGGCTCTGAGTTCTGAATACATGGAATCTTACTTATCAGTGTGGTCATATGTCAAAATATTTGGATTTGAATCTCGAAGTAATGTTTGTACTATTTAATGTTTTTTAGCTGGATATGAATGATGGATATTAAAGCAAAGACTACTTGTGGAACTGTTAATTCTTCATGTGGTGATTTTCTAAATTAACAAATCAAATATTTCTTCTGTACTTTCCCAGCTGGAGAAAGAACTTATGGATAAAATTGCAGCATGGGAAGAACAAGAGGGCAAAGAATTTTTGGTTAATGGAAACAACTTTCATAAGTTTGTAGAAAATCAATGGGAACTCCAGAGAATAGAAAAGGATAAAGAGAAGGAAGAAAGGGTAAGTTTTATGTTTATTATGTGATAACATAGTTTTTAAAGTTTATTTCTTAAAGTATAGGCAGGGTTTCCATTGGTCTGGAAAAGGGGGATGTTTACCACCAGTCGGGGAAATATGCGTGTGTCAGTGTCTTTTACATAATGCATAAAGCTATGGAAGGTGCATCATTTATTATTCCAAATCAGTTGTACTGAAAACAATTAAATTCAATTTCACTATGAAGGATATTAATACTTTTTTTCAGGTAGAGGCCAGTATCCACAGTCATTTCTTACATCAACTGTTAAGGGGACGCCCCTTCCAAGACCCTTTGTTTTTGGGTGTTGGACCTAATTATCTGGGCTTATTCACATCAGGTTCATCTTGTTGCCTGTCGTGTGCCATGAGCTATGAACTTTGTGGCAGACCTCTATTCTCAGCTGGACTGTGTCATATCCATGGGATGATCTCTTTATCCCCTGGCCTTTCACTGGATTTGCTCTCATAGACACCTTTGCCACCCTGTAAACTCTAAGCTTCTCTCTTCTGGTCCCCTGTTCCTTCAGCTCTGACTGTTTGTTCTCAGCTGGAACTGTTTCATGCTTTTTTATATGCTTATCCTTCTCCTCCTTTGAGTCCTCACTTTGATACCTGACAATCCTCGAGTCCTATGGTGGCATCTCTTTGGCCAACTTTGCCTTGGTTTCCTCTGCTTCTTTGCTTAGCATCCAGACCTCTGTTTCTATAACCAATGTCTGCTCACTTTTGCTTCAACCTCACATCCATTTTTCATCAAAGGATTGCATACCTTCATCTTCACGTGTGGGATTTTTTTCCAGTCCATTGGGCCAGATTTTCTAATTGTGTAGCCTTCTTTTTGTCCCATTCCTATTGCCATTCCACTTTGTCTGTCTATCATCAAATATGATGGTGTTTTGTTGTTGGTCCATCTGCCACTCCTTTCCTCCTGGCTATCCTACTGAGATTCACCTTTTTACCTTTTGTTCGTTGGATGTTCGACCTAGGTTTGTCAGTCTCCACCATTGTTGGTTATCAGGCAACATTGTGCACTATGTTTTGCCTTTATTAATACCACAGTGTGGTTTTCTTCCCCTGTCCTCTCCATTCATTCCTTCTGCCCTGACTCCTATGTTTGAGTCCTAAATGTGGTTCTGTGTGCTTTCACACATTTCCATTTGAGCCATTGGCTTCTTGCTCTTACCACCTTTCTCTCAATTCTTCATTCCTGATGCTTCTCACACCCTCTTCCACTGCACTTATATACTCCTCTACCTGGACCAGTCTGTAACTGTAATGTCTTTCCTATCTCCTCTCATCTGTCTCTCACCTCTATGACCATTCAGACCTGGATTGGCTCCTGTGTCTTGTTTGGGCTCTTTGTTGCTACCTATCTTGGACATTTCCTTTTCTGAGTCCTGCTATCTGTTCCAACCTTGGGGCTCCCTCTTCTTCTTCCAGGGACCTCTCTCCTTCTACCCTTACTGAAAGGGTCTGTCTTTGAGATGGATAAGTAAGTTCCCCTTCCCATCAAACAGGATCCCACCAGATGGCTCGTGTTGCCTCCCTGGGTATGCTTATTTCCCAAAATCTGCATTGAGCCAGAATAACAGAAAGTGTTCAGCCCATCTGCCCTAGCTCTACTACTGCCTACTGCGAGATGGAGTGTTCTGCAATACCACTTAGGCATCCTTGTGGTTTAAAAATATACTCAATTATCTGATCCAGACCATGCCAGTTCCATGGACTATTATGGAAAAAGCCAGTACCAGAGAAGTGACTGCTCATTACTTTGGCTCTTGCTAACCTGCTTTTAAAAATAGGATTTTGCAGTCACCAATTACACTGTCAACAGTAAAAGACCTTTCTGGCTGGTGGTCCAATGGGAATCCAGGCACTTCTCCAAGACTTTCCAATGTAAATTCTGCACCCCTCTTCTTTAAATGGAGCACTAGAGACCTTTGTCATTTTTACCAGTTCTAGCCACTGAGTTAGTGAACAATGGAGAATCCTCACTGGATGGGCTTAGCAGAATACAGTGAGAAGTGAGGTGGTGGTAATACTGCCATTGTAGTGCAGGTCACCCCTCACACAGCTAATGTGCTCTCTCCTGCAGCCAGAGTATGTCCAGTAGAGCTGAGGTGAGCCAATGTATGGTTTGATCACATCCTAACCACACTACAAATATTGACTTGCCAACTACTTGCATGTGGGTGCTTAATTGGTCATAATCACATTCCACCCATCTCTGTGACACTTCAAGCTCTTTTGCCTTTTCCCTTCCTTTCATCTCAAGTGAAACGTATACCCTGTTTGAGATGAGATGTGTTTTTCTATGGGTTTGCCCCTGTGGAGCCCCTGCCATTGAGTGTCACATTCCATGGGCTTCCCTTTGGGCACTTTCTGAAGGGAGCTCATCTAGGTAAAATTTTGCACTGGCCTCTCCACCACTTCAGTGTGGGATTCTAGCATTTCTGTGTTGTCATCTTGGAAGTCAACATTTTCCTAAACTGATAATGTATTTCTTGAGCCGTCATGGCCAGGTGGTTAAGGGGCTTGACTTGCAATCTGCAGGTTTGAATCCCCATCCCACCAAACATGCTTGCCCTTTCAGCCATGGAGGCATTATAATGTGATGGCCAATCCCACTATTTGTTGGTAAAAGAGTGGCGGTGGATGGTGATGACTGGTTGCCTTCCCTCTAGTCTTACAATGCTAAATTAGGGATGGCTAGTGCAGATACCCTTCTTGTAGCTCTGCATGAAATTCAAAAACAAACAAATGTACTTCTGATAGATACCTTTACAAGCGTTCTCACCCAACCTCCCCACTTCAACTGCACTTTTGTTTTTCTTGCCTCATCTAAGAATGAAGTTATCACAAGTGCTAGTGCATAGGAAGAGTTACTGGGCACGAAAGTTGTTGCCCATCTATTTGTGGAGGGCTATTGTTGCATGATGAAATCATCATGCACCAGTGCAGTTCACATTAAACACATTAATTTAAGTGGGAGTTACCTAAAGGCTAGTGCCATGCAATTCTCATAGTCAAATGTGTGAGGAAAATAGCATTTCTATGTGAGGAGGTGAGTGTCTATCAGAAATATGTTTTCAGATTAGGAAAATGTTACATTTAAATATAGGTTGTTTCCATTAAGTAAGTGTTGATCTTACAAATTTTGATGCAATAATAAAACAGTCCCCAGGTGATTAGTCATAGCAGGGACACTGATACCCTGAGCACATTATATAATTAACATGTAATTTGTGCAGAAAAGATTTGAAAAATATGAAAACTAAAACAGTTTAATTATTTCAGCACAGTCTGGCAGCTCAAAGATATAACAAACCTACACAGTTCTTTTCATAACTGTACTTATATTTATTGAGTTAATCATCAAAAATAGTTATATAAAATAATTTATTAGTAATTTTTATTAATTTGTTTTAAAACAAAATATTCATCACTTAGACTTGCCTATAGTACCCAATGTCATGATGTGCAGAACAGTTTAAGCAAGGTCAATGACACACAATATTTCCTAGAGACAAGTAGAAAATCACTAGTGATAACTAAGAAAAAACAATATAAAGCCAAGTATGGGTATCAGTGTACAGTATCCATTTTTTGGAAATGACAACAAGTTTGGAAAATTAAATTAAAACAATATTAAAATATATAATGTTTCATTGACTGTAACTAATAATGTGGCTCATTTAAGTTTTCAGTGGTGTTTGTTATCCATGAATCTTTATAGAAACAGTTGAACTTGCACCAGCAGATAAATGAATACGTCCTTTACTTTTTTGGTAAATAAATTTATTTATATCTTCAGTACAGCTTATCATTTTATTGTAGTTAATAGTAACATATTTTAGTCTAGGAAAATTCATGAAATTTTATTCTGCCCAAAGTATTGGTATCTGTCTAAAAGGAGTCTAGCATTTGGTATATTTTTACATAGGAGAGGTCTAATGAACCTGTAAGTTATTTTAATAACAGTATTAAATATATGTCCATTTGAAAGCTTGGTCTACTTTTGTGTTAGAACTTGAGTAATGTGACATTGACTGGTAAAATATCCTTCTTAAAAGTATTCTATTTCCTAATGGTGAACTGAGAACAAGATATCAGTATTTTATTTCATGATGGTGAACTGAGGACAAGATGTCAGTATTTTATTTCATGATGGTGAACTGAGGACAAGATATCAGTATTTTATTCTGATGGTGAACTGAGAACAAGATATCAGTATTTTATTTCATGACGGTGAACTGAGGACAAGATATCAGTATTTTATTCTGATGGTGAACTGAGAACAAGATATCAGTATTTTATTTCATGATGGTGAACTGAGAACAAGATGTCAGTATTTTATTTTGATGGTGAACTGAGAACAAGATGTCAGTATTCTCTGTGGTTTATGAACTCGCTGAATGTTCTTTTAAATATGTTTTAATGCACTAAGTATTCAAATAAGTTCCATACCTCTGTGTTATAGTCTGTTGAAATGTCTCCATTGTTAGAAACACGTAAGTGGTAACAACTAGAGCTGGCCAATTAATTAATTTAATAATGGTCTTTTGGCATTGGTTACATCAATTAGTGTCACATAAAACAAATTAATTTCATGAAAATAATCATCTAATTGAAATTAAGGTTTCCAAATTACTGTTTTTCATTATTCCAACTGTCTAAGTCTAATGTAAGACTAATCTGTTAGTTGAACGTAATCGATTAATGAGTCCAGTAATTAATGAATTATGGATCCCACTAATCACCCAACTGTACTATCAACTACAGTATTTCAAACTATACAATGGTACATAATATTATTTTTTTATGGATGTGGTTATCTGGATTCAGCTTCAAAGAAATGAATGGGCAGTCAGCTGTGGAGTTAAACCTGCACCATATATTAATTTGTGAATTTCTGTTAATTTGGAGGTCAGTGTAGCACTAGCAAATGAGAATTTTTTTTTTTTTTTTTCATTATCCAGTCAAGCTGTCTCAAAACTTACTTTTTTCTGCTGACGTTAGTTAATCGGTCTATTCAATACCAAATGTCAAGATTTAATGTATATAATATGTTACTTTATAGTTCAACAGAACCATCTATTGTTCAATGTTGCATGAGATGGGGAGACAGGCAGAGAGATAGAGATAGATCACAGGATACTGGTAACTCAAGTATACGTGGAAAGTACAACTTCCTTTTGAATATATTGAAGTTACTGGGATTCTTTAATTGAGAAGTAAATGTTTTGTATGCTTAAAGTTTCAAACATTTATTTGTTATGATATTCGTTATTAGCTATCTTTCAAGCCTTGTGCTTGGATCTCTTTGGGAACAGAGCAAAAAAATATATCATCTGTTTGCCACATTGATATAAAAAAAAAAAGTGTTCTTAGCCTTGATGAAGACTCCAGAGACATCAAAAATTAGACAGTAATAAATATTTTAGCGAGAAATGACAGAAAACCTTTTTAATTTTTATTTTAGTTCCCTGTTTTTCATGTCTGAAAACATTTATTTAGTATGCCCTCTGAGCATTCTCAATATTTTAAAGATTTTCGTTGGTAATTATCTGCAAGTACCATTGTGTCATTAATAGCTACCATTGAGCTTGTTTCAAGAGTAGTTAGTTATAGTAGCTGTCAATAAATATATTGTACTTAATTGGTAAAAACTGTTGTAAACCTCTTATGATTAACTTTGAATGAGAACTTTTAAGCTTTGTAGATAAAAGTTTTATAATCACTGTATAGCTAGCAGTCAAATAAAATTCACATTCTGTGGTAGATATAAAAGGATTTAATGTTAGACAGAAATTAATGCAATGAATGTTTTATTAATAGCAAAAGCAAAGAGCCAAACAACTAGAGGAGGAAATTGTAGCTGGAAGCCGACCCACACCTGCTAAGAGAAGACACGGTGGGACTACACCAAGTAAAACTCCCAGTAAAATGTCGAGGCTAGCTAATCCTGGCTGTAGCACCTTTTTAGGCATGACTCCATCATATGTGAGCAGGATGCACACCGGAGGAGCTTCCATGGCAATTTTTCAGTCTCCAGTTAGAAAAGTTCCTCAATCGGCAGGAAGGACTCCTCGTTCAACGGTGAAGACTCCTCGACGTTCTCCTGTAAGGCTTCTAACATTTAAGTGTTTTACCTAAGATTAGTTAGGCATACACGTCGAAAAATTGAACTTTAACTTTTGTAAATGATAATACCAGAATTCAAAATTATTTTAACCTGTTTATATCTAACAGTATAAGCAACTGGTTATGCCTCTCGGATATATGCTATTTACCATACAGTTTTTTTTTTTTCTTTTTTAACCCCTTCTGTTAGATTCTGGGTCATATTGACCTGATGCAGTTTCAACCTAATAGAAACAGTCTTGAACTAATGTAGTATTTTGTCTTTGAATAATTTTTATTTCTTTACGTTAAATATTAGAAGTTATATACATAATTGCATTATAGAAACCAATGTCAGATCAAATAGACCATACATAATAGAAGGGTTTATGTGTAGTAGATAAGTTATGAAGACATTCATGTCTACATGCTAGCTATTTTATAAGCACAATGAATTAATATTTCAACCAGATATGCTTAAACAGTTTTCTAAATTGGTTATTAAAATATAAATCTGTAACTATCTTCATATGATATGTTTAACATTCAAAACTATCATTGTTATGTACTAATGTATCATTAAGATATTGTACAAAATGACTTAGTTGTTCAGGGTCACTAAAGATGACAAATATGTTAACATATCTTTGGTAGTATAAAGGTTTGAAGTTCAATGAACAGTGTTTAGAACCATTGCTTTTTTTAATGGCTAAGGAACAAATATACAAGTGTTGGTGTTCACCTTAGTACCATTGTAGTTCCTTATTGGCAACTCATAATAGTTTCAGAAAAACATGCATAGAAAATTTTAATGCACACCAAAACTTGAACAATAGACATTTCGTGAAATAGAAAATGTTTTAATTTCTTTATACAATTTTAAAAAGTCTTAATGTATTCATTAGTCGTATGATATTCCAAAATAACTTAATATCATCAGGCGTCATCAGCAAAAGGCTTCATGCCATAATACTATTTGTTTAAAATACTGTGTAACACTTCAAATTATGCTGCATATGACAGTGACCTTAAATTGAAGAATGTTAACTAAAATACATACAAAGTTCTGTATCAGTTACTTGCTATTCACTAAAAAAAGGTATTTTGGTTGTAATATAAATCTACAAATGTACCTACGTTCGTAAAATTATCAGACAAATCACAAACTTTCATTTTAATTTTGTAAAATTTCTGGACTTGGGAATGGATTTTTGTTTTTTCAGGAATGTTTTTTTACTTTCTTTTTTTGCCTCATCCAGAGATTTACCCCAGGAAAGAAGACACCTTACAGACAGGGCCGAGGAGTTTTAACTGTAAAGGATGATAATCAAAGGGATGACACTGTCAGTACTACAAGCAGTAAGACTAGCACAGAGGATAAGTGTAGGAGTCCTGTACCATCTCTTGTCAGTGTAACTTCTTACTCAGAATTTACTGTAAGTAACAAAAAAAGTTTACTCTTAGAAAGCCTGAAATTAGTTTAGTTATGAGTAATTAAGCTGTAAAGTTTCAGATAAGTCTGATCTCAAGTAACTAATTTTTACAGTCAAGAAAAGTTTGATACTAGGTAACAGTTGACAATATTAGAATGTTTTATTTTTTCCTACCTTATTATTTCAGCAGTACTCAAACACTAAACTATTTGGACTTTTTGTAAGAGTGTTATGGTTGGTAATTTTTACTGACATTCTGAATAAGGAGATGATTTTTGTTGAATTCCTAGGATTACAAATAAACGTAGGTAATATTTTTGTTCTTCTAAATTTATGTTTAGTATCGTCATTTTGGATTTCCTTTTTGATGGACTGATAAATGCTAAAATTTTTGTCATTTCAAACCTGTCTTAGCTTTAACTCAGATCCAAAAACTGAATATACAGATAATGTTTCATAGACTTTCTTTTTTGTATTTGATGACGAGGAACCCACTTTGAGACTTATAATACATAGAGACGGCTTGAATGGGTAATGAAAAAAACTTTAATATAAGTTTAGCATAACAGGAAATGTACAACATTTTGACAAGGCTTTGTCATCATCAGATACAAGTAATTTACACTGACGCAGATATATATATATTGTTACGTCTCCGTTTGTTAATTGAATTTCCGTAAATTCGTTCCGACGAAACTTTAGCGACACAAGTCCTTTCTTAAATAAAACTGGTTTATTCTTTCCGAATACAACTTTACGATACACTCAACTTCAACAGTCGCGCTATAACAAACTATAATTCACGTCTCACGAGCTCGACTTCAACAATACGTCTCTCTCTGACTGCAGTTCAATTACTCATTACCTACACACATTGTCCCATCACGTTGTGACCATCTTATATATACCAGACTGCCCCCAATCTAGTAAATGCTAGGGCATTCATGAAGGAACAGGATATTTCTATAAAACGTGGCGTGACCTCGCTGACGCAACAATATATATAGTATGGAACAAAGAAGTCACATGACCAGATACTGTTGCAAGACTTAGAAGATGTATCTTGGCACCCCAACGTGTTGGTTTAAAGTAGGGTTGTTTTGTTCAATTAAGAATGGATTCCTTGATTT